AAAAAATTAGCTGGCCGTGCTGGTGCTTCGCTTGTTTTTTTTTTTTTTTTTTTTTCTTCTTTTTTTTTTTTTTTTTTCCTTAATATTTTTTTTTATTTATCCCGCACTTCACGGGAAGGCACTGAGAGGCAGGAGAATCGCCTTGAAACCCAGGAGGTTTGAGGTTGCAGTGAGCACGATGACGCACTACACTGTCCAGCCTGGCTACAGACGAGAGTCTCGCTCTCAAGAACACACACGCACACACACAAGAACGAACTTAGGCCAGGCATGCGGTGGCAGGGTGGCTGCTATAATCGCCAGCTCTTGGGGAGCTGGGCAGAGAACACTTGAACAGGAGGTTGCGCAGTGAGCGACGCATCAGCCGACCTATTCTCCAGTTGGACAAAAAGAAGCAACAAACTCTATTCTCGACAAGCAATTTAAATAAATTAAAATAGAAATATTAAAAAATAAAAATAGGCCGGTGCGGCATGGCTTCCCCAAAGCTGTGAATCCCAGCACTTTGGGAGGCCGAGACAGGCGGAGGTCATGAGGTCAGGAGATTGAGGACCTACCTCTAGCGAAACACAGTCGAAGACCGGTCCTCTTTGTTACTAAAAAAAAATACAAAAAACTAAGCCGGGTGACGGTGGGGGCGCTGGTAGTCCCAGCTAGCCTGGGAGGCTGGAGGCAGGAGAATGGTGCTAAACGCCTGGGGAGGCCGGAGCTTGCAGTGAGCTGAGATCCAGCCACAGCACTCCAGCCTGGCCCGCGACAGGGAGCAAAGACCTCGTCTCGAAACAACAACCAGCCACACGAATCAACTAAAAAATAAAAACTCAAAAATATGTAAAGAAAGCAGACACCATAAATATAAAAAAAGGGAAGAAAAAATAAAACCGGACAATAAATAAACCTAAAAATATGAATTAACCGGGCATGGTGGTGGATGCCTGTGGTCCCAGCTACTCAGGAGGCTGAGGCTGGAGGATCTTTTGAGCCCAGGTGATCAAGGCTGCAGTGAGCTATGATGGTGCCACCGCGCACTGCAGCCTGGGAGACAGGGCAAGACCCTGTCTCAAAAACAAATTGGCAGGGGTGGTAGGTGAAGGTACAGATCCACCTCTGCGTGTGTTTGCACATGCAGCTGCTAACAGTGGTTACCTGCATGTCTGCAGAAAGGAATACCAATGGATGAAGAGGTGTGACTTAGTAAGAAAACTTTATTGTATATTTTGACAGGTGAATGTTTTTCATACTGACATTTTTTGTTTGTTTGAGACAAAGTCTTGCTCTGTCACCCAGGCTGGAGTGCAGTGATGCAGTAATAGCTCACTGCAGACTCCTCCCAGGCTCAAGCAATCTTCCCACCTCAGCCTCTTAAAGTGATGGAATTACAGGCATGAGCCACCATGCCTCGTCCTCAAGAAAAAAACAAGGCCGGTCGCGGTGGCTCAAGCCTGTAATCCCAGCACTTTGGGAGGCCGAGACGGGCGGATCACGAGGTCAGGAGATCGAGACCATCCTGGCTAACACGGTGAAACCCCGTCTCTACTAAAAATACAAAAAACTAGCCGGGCGAGGTGGCGGGCGCCTGTAGTCCCAGCTACTCCGGAGGCTGAGGCAGGAGAATGGTGCAAACCCGGGAGGCGGAGCTTGCAGTGAGCTGAGATCCGGCCACTGCACTCCAGCCCGGGCTACAGAGCAAGACTCCGTCTCAAAAAAAGAAAAAAAAAAAAACAAGTAAAAAACAAAAAACAAGTAAAAAACAAATAAAAGGCTGGGCACGGTCGCTCACGCCTGTGATCCCAGCACTTTGGGAGACCAAGGCAGGTGGATCGCCTGAGGTCGGGAGTTGGAGACCAGCCTGGCCAACATGGTGAAAAACCATCCCTACTAAAAATACAAAAATTAGCCAGGCGTGGTGGCAGGCACCTGTAATCCCAGCTACTCAGGAAGCGGAGGCAGGAGAATCGCTTGAATCCAGGAGGCGGAGGTTGCAGTGAACCGAGATCATGCCACTGCCCTCCAGCCTGGGTGACAGAGCAAGACTCCATCTCAAAAAACAAACAAACAAAAATAAATAAATAAAAACTACCTCAAAAAGTGGGGAGAGGGGGCATCACCAGGCTGGTATTCTGCGCAGTGTGGATTCTCATGGAAACATTTAAATCAAGCCCTGCCTGCCGGGTTTTTCTTATGGCCTCAGGATTTATTCTGGAAGCAAAGACCTCAGAGGGCTGCACGGGCCCATGCCAAGCCCCCTTCCTTCCTGCCATCTGTATCCCGGGCACTCCTAGTCTATCTCTAGAACTGACCTCTCTCCGGAACTGCAGACTCCCCTCTCCATCTGCTCCCAGGCCGTGGACGACTCTACGCTCCTGACCCTCCAAGCCTCGCCCTCCTTGGCCTCCCTCTTCTCCTTTGGCCCCCTCATCAAAAACCAGCTCTGTGCTTTCTCTCCCCTAACCTGCATCTGATCACTTCTTCGAACTCCACTGCCAACATTTTGGGCCAAACCACCCACCCCTTGGTGCACCCTTGGCCCTGCTCTTCAGTCTCCAGGCTCCTGCCTTCCCCTGATCTCTGCTTTCCCCAAATCTGTCCTCCCTGCAGAAGCCACCAGAGGGCGCCTGTATGCACCTGAATCCGGTCCCCTCCCTCCTATATTGGGAACCCTCCCAGGCTCCCAGCTCAATAGCGGTCAAGTCAAAGCTCCCCATGGGGTCCCCTCCGACTCCTTACTCCACCCCAGCTTCCTGGGCTGTGCCAAAAATGTGTCCTCAGCCTGGATCAATCATCCCCAATCTTCCCCACCTCCTGCTTGTCACCCATCTCAGACTTTCCTGATCTCCTGTCTAATGCAGCTTCCGCAGCCAGCCAGCATGGTGACTCACGCCTGTAATCCCAGCACTTTGAGAGGCCGAGGTGGGTGGATCACCTGAGGTCAAGAGTTTGAGACCAGCCTGGCTAGCATGGTGAAACCCCATCGCTACTAAAAATGCAAAAATCAGCTGGGTGTGGTAGCCCGTGCTTGTGATCCCAGCTACCTGGGAGGCTGAGGCATGAGAATCACTTGAACCCGGGATTCGGGAGTTGTGTGAGCCAAGATCACGCCACTGCGCTCCAGCCTGGGCAACAGAGCTAGACTCCGTCTCGAAAAAATAAAAAAAAATTCCTCCCCTCTGCTTTTGGGGGATATTGTTCCCCAACGTCACACAGTGTCAGAGCTGAGATTTAAACCTGGGTCTGTGGGACTCTCTACACAGCTACATTTTGGGGTAATCTTGGCATTTTTACTTTTTTATTTTTATTTGTTTCTTTGTTTGGAATGGAGTTTTGCTCTTGTAGTCCAGGCTGGAGTGCAATGGCTCAAACTTGGCTCACTGCTACCTCCACCTCCTGGGTCCAAGTGATTCTCCTGTCTCAGCCTCCCAAGTAGCTGAGATTACAAGCATGCACCACCACACCTGGCTAATTTTTTGTATTTAGCAGAGATGAGGTTTCACGATATTAGTCAGGCTGGTCTCAAACTCCTGACCCGCCCACCTTGGCCTTCCAAAGTGCTGGGATTACAGGCATGAGCCACCATGCCCAGCAACTTCATTTTCTTTATACCCAGAGGGGACTGATCACAGCATGCATCAGATTGTCACAAGTCTCCATGAATAACCTCAGAGAGGCCACCAGGTCACCCGGAATCCTCTGTCACCATTCTGAGGGGCAGTAAAGACTGAGACCAAAGGCAGCACTGACCAGGCCAGGACATACCCCCAAGAGGCCTGCCTGTGGCCACACAACAGCCTGACGTCACCACCTTCAATCCTCACACCCCCTGGGATTTTTCAGAGCCAACGCTTGGCTCACCGAGTCCCTGTTTAGTGATTCTGGGCTTTTCTTTTCCCCCCGCAGCTTAGAGACAGCAGGTCAACTTAGCCTCGTGGTGCCCCTTGAGCCCGCCCCATTCTCCAGGTAGGACGGTCAGCAGAAAACTGGTTCCAAGAAAAAGAACCACTCACCGCAGAGACGGTAAACAGGGAGTTATCGAAGGACATGTCTGAAACAGAAAGAGAAAGAAAACCCAGGATTGGGGACCAGTTGTAACTTCCCTGCTCCCTGCCATCCCCGCCCACAGGGAAGCAATTGGGGTCCATCTCCCAGCATCCTCTATGGCGCCCTTTCAACCCATTCTGCATGGTGAACTGTTCACAGCTACAAACGGAACCTAGTCCTTCTACACACAGGGGACTAGGTTCCTGTGTGTAGGGGGGATCTCACTGCCCTGGGGAAAATGGGAATCTTATCTCAGGCCTTCCAGAAGGAGCACCTGCCAGCTCCTCCTCCTCCCCAGGCTCTCCTCCAATTGCTCCATCACCCATTTTTTTGTTTTTTCTCGTTTTTGAGGAGTCTCACTCTGTTGCCCAGGCTGGAGTGCAATGGCGCAATCTCAGTTCACTGCAATTTCTACCTCCTGGGTTCAAATGATTGTCCTGCCTCAGCGTCCTAATAGCTGGGATTACAGGCATGCACCACTACACCCAGCTAATTTTTATATTTTTAGTAGAGATTGGGATTCACCATGTTGGCCAGGCTGGTCTCGAACTCCTGGCCCCAAGAGATCTGCCTGCCTCGGCCTCCCAAAGTGCTGGGATTAGAGGCGGGAGTCACTGCACCTGGCCTTCATCACCCATTCTTGTAGGTCTCTGCTTAAACATCACTTCTAGCCAGGTGAGGTGGCTCACGGCTATAATCCCAATGCTTTGGAAGGCCAAGGAGGGAGGATCACTTGAGCCCAGGAGTTCAAGACCAGCCTAGGCAACACAATTCTTTATCTCTAGAAAAAAAAAAATTTAAAAAGTAGCTGAGTGTGGTGGTGTGTACCTGTGGTCCCAGCTACTCAGGAGGCTGAGAGGGGAGGATCACTTCAGCCTAGGAGGTCAAGACTGCAGTGAGCTATGATTGAGCCACTGTGCTCCTGTCTGGGTGACAGAGCAAGACTCTGTCTCAAAAACAAAGACAAAAACAACAACAAAAAAAAACAGGGCTGGATGCGATGGCTCATGCCTGTAACTGCCTGTAATCTCAGCACTTTGGGAAGCTGAGGTGGGTAGATACCTGAGGTCATGAGTTCGAGACCAGCCAGGCCCACATGGTGAAACCCTACCTCTACTAAAAATACAAAAATTAGCTGGGCATGGTGGCTCACGCCTGTAATCCCAGCTACTCGAGAGGCTGGGGCAGGAAAATCGCTTGAACCTGGGAGGCAGAGGTTGCAGTGAGCTGAGATCAGGCCACTGCACTCTAACCTGGGCAACACAGCTAGACTCTGTCTCAAAAAAAAAAACAACAGAAGGCCGCCACCAGTGACACAAGACAACACGCCTGTAACTCCCAGCACTTGGGAAGGCCGAGGCGGGGATCACCCTGAGGTCGCGCGAGTTCGAGACCGCTGACCCACATGGAGAAACTCCGCGGTACTACAATAAAATACAAAAAACTAGCTAGGGCGTGGCGGGCGCGAGTGCCTATACATCCAGCTACTAGGCGAGGCTGAAGGCCGAAATTGCTGATCCTGGGAAGGCGGAGGGTTGTTGCCGCGCATGTCCATTGCACTCCAGCCTGGGCAAGCCAAGGAGTGAAACTCCGCCTCAAAAAAAAAAAGAAAAGAAAAGCCACTCCTCAGGGACCACCTCGCCCCTTGTGGCCAGACACAGTCCTAGTGCTACCCACGGCTTGTTCCCCATTGGAGAATCGGCCTTGGTGCAGCAGACGCGCACATCGTGCTCTTGGTTATAAAGGAGACACTCCCAGACCTCAGCACCACCAGTGAAGATGCTCAATAAATGTGTGTTCGAAGCCAGGATGAAGTACAGAGAATACATTTCTCTGCCTGGGGTGCCTTCAAGAGAACATGCCTACATGAACAGACTGGCGTGCCTCTCAACCCCTTGGGCGAAGCTGGGCCAGATGACATGTTCCTGGAAGGCAAGTGTGGCCCCGGAGTCCCGAGATAGACAGCGGTCCCTTTCCCCATGGTAGCTGGCTGTCCAGCAGAGAAATGAGTATTAAGTATGCAAGCACCCAATGATCACTTACATCTCTGTTTCATTTTTGTTCTTCTCTTCCCTTTTTTGAGGAGTTTTGTTTCTTTCTTCCTTTTTTTTGAGCAGAGTCTTGCTCTGTCCACCACAGGCTGTGAGTGCAGTGGCGTGCCATCTGCCGCCCCTCTCCCTGGGTTCAAGCCGATTCTCCCTGTTCCTCGCTCCCAAGAGCTGGATTACAGGCACGCGCCACAGTGCCCAGCTACATTTTGGTATCTTTTAGTAAGCAGACCAGGGTTCTCACCCACGTTGGGCCGGATTGGTGTCGCATCTCTGAACCTTTGGGATCTGCCTGCCTCCGGCATCCCAAAGTGTTGGGATTACAGGCGTGAGCCACTGCACCAGGTCACCTAATTGTATTTCTACCAAGGGGTAAGAAGAATGGTCGGTCCTGGGGTCCTGTAAGTAGCAGGCACAGACCCTGTCTAGGGAGTCAGGGAAGGCTTCCCAGAAGAGGTGACCTTTAGGTTAAGTTAAAGGAGAGAAGGTGAGAACCCAGGAGAAGAGGTGGTGAGGGTGTGTTTTGACCCTAAGGGGAACAAGCAGTCACAGAAATCTGATTGGCGTGTGATGAGGTCTGATGGCATTTGGAGGTGTAATCCTTTCCCCACCGGAGTCAGGAGTGTGGAGGCACAGACCTGTGCTGTTGAAGTTAATCTGGGCCCAGCAGGATTCTCGATCTCTGCAAAGGAATTCAGGAGAAAGTGACAGGGACCAGGGTTGCCCCTTGAGTCAGGAGGCTTGATTGGGAAAGCTCTAGCCCCAAACCACAACCAAAACATAGCCTTTGCTCCCCACCCACTGACCGATGGGTCTTCCTCACAGAAAAGCAGTAACATCCTGATTTCTGGAGCTGTCACACTGTAGGACAGCCCCTCGGCCAGGGAAAGAAAAAAAACATGGAAATTCTCTTGGGCCAGGTGCGGGGACTCACACCTGTAATCCCAGCACTTTGGGAGGCCGAGGCAGGGGGATCACTTGAGGTCAGGAGTTCAAGACCAGCCTGGACAACATGGTGAAACCCCATCTCTACTAAAAAATACAAAAATTAGCCAGGTGTGGTGGTGCATGCCTGTAGTCCCAGCTACTCCAGAGTCTGAGGCAGGAGAATCTCTTGAACCCAGGAGGCGGAGGTTGCAGTGAGCTGAGATTGCGCCACTGCACTCCAGTCTGGGTGACAGAGTGAGACTCCGTCTAAAAAAAAAATACATGTATATATTCTTCAGGGTAGGAGGTCCACAGCCAGGTGAAGCTGGGATTCAATCTCCAGAGCAGGTCTTTACCACCAGGCAGCAGGATGTCTCTCCACTCTCAGAGGAGAGAAACTAAGGCCAGGGCCAGTTAGGACATCCTGGCGCCCAGGAACCTGGGCCATCGCCTACAGTGCAATTGGGCATCGCACAACCCCAGGGGCATTTTTTTTTTTTTTCTTTTTTTTTTGAGACGGAGTCTTGCTCTGTCACCCAGGCTGGAGTGCAGTGGCGCCATCTCCACCCACTGCAAGCTCCGCCTCCTGGGTTCACGCCATTCTCCTGCCTCAGCCTCCCGTGTAGCTGGGACTACAGGCGCCCGCCACCGCACCCGGCTAGTTTTTTGTATTTTTAGTAGAGACGGGGGGTTCACTGTGTTAGCCAGGATGGTCTCGATCTCCTGACCTCGTGATCCGCCCGTCTCGGCCTCCCAAAGTGCTGGGATTACAGGCGTGAGTCACGGCGCCCGGCCACCCAGGAGCATTCTTTAGAAACTGCTTGTGGGTATCTAGAGTGATTGTGACCATTTTCTGGCAGCTGGGGGTAAAGGGGTATGGGGAAGGGCCTCTCCCTGGTCAAACTGCTCGCTCTGTGACTCAGCGCTGAGCCTCAGTCCTCTCTTCTGTAAAACAGGGCTATTCATAGTGCCTGTTTCCAGGGCTGCCATAAGGATAAGGAGCTCCAGCTTCAGAGAGTCCTAGCACAGTCCTCCAGCACACAGGAGGCACTTAATAAATGGCACCTGTTCCCATTATGCAGCATGCCCACCAGGAGGCGCTGTTTGTGGGGGGGACATGGAGTGCCCACCCCGCCAGGGAAGTGTCCTTCTATCCCCAAACCTCCCTCTGTGGGTCTCCAGGGATGATCTCACCTTTTCTTCTGTAAATTTTTGAGTTTAACTGGAACAAAAAAGAAATGAGCATGTGTTAGATTTTGGTCCTAACTGTATCCGGCAATTTCTGTTTTTTTTTTTTTTTTCTTAAGACAGAGTCTCACTTTGTCACCCAGGCTGGAGTGCAGTGGCTCAATCTTGGCTCACTGCAACCTCTGCCTCCTGGATTTAAGCGATTCTCCTGCCTCAGCCTCCCGAGTAGCTGGGATTACAAGTGCGCACCACCAGGCCCAGCTATTTTTGTATTTTAGTAGAAGTTTCGTCATTTTGGCCAGACTCGTCTCGAACTCCTGACCTCGAGTGATCCACCCCCCTCGGCCTTCCAAAGTGCTGGGATTACAGGCATGAGCCACCCCGCCTGGCCTGGAAGGCCTCAGATTTTTGTTTGTTTTTTGTTTTGTTTTTCGAGATGGAGTCTCGTTCTGTTGCCCAAGCTGGAGTGCAGTGGTGTGATCTCGACTCACTGCAACCTCCGCCTCCTGGGTTCAAGCAATTCTTCTGCCTCAGACTCCCATGTAGCTGGGACTACAGGTACACATCACCACGCTCGACTAATTTTTGTGTTTTCAGTAGACATGGGGTTTCACCATATTGCCCAGGCTGGTCTCAAACTCCTGACCTTGTGATCTGCCCACCTTGGCCTCCCAAAGTGCTGGGCCATCCTGGACAACATGGTGAAACCCTGTCTCCACTAAAAATACAAAAGTTAGCTGGGTGTGGTGGCACGCACCTGTAGTCCCAGCTACTCGGGAAGCTGAGGCATGAGAATCGCTTGAACCTAGGAGGCGGAGGTTGCAGTGAGCCAAGATCGTGCCACTGCACTCCAGCCTGGCAATAGAGCAAGTGAGTCGAGATCACCTCACTGCACTCAAGCCTGGGTCACAGGGTGAGACTCCATCTCAAAATACACACACATACACACACACATAATTTGGCTGAGCATGCTGGCACATGCCTGTAATCCCAGCATTTTGGGAGGCTGAAGCAGGAGGATCACTTGAGGGGGCCACCAACCACCCTGTCTAATTTTTGTATTTTTTAGTAGAGATGGGGTTTCACCATGTTGGCCAGGGTGGTCTTGAACTCCTGACCTCAAGTGGATCTGCCCATGTCGGCCTCCGAAAGTGCTGGGTATTACAGGATGAGCCCACCACGCCTGGGCCAAAAAATTTTAAAAAGAACTTTTGCCGGGCGGGTGGGCTCAAGCCTGTAATCCCAGCACTTTGGAGGCCAAAGACGGCGTGGCGAATGCAGATGTCAATCGATAAATGGGTTGACAACTGCGGCGGTATGTGAGTCAGGAATGATGGCGTATCAGAAGATTTCTAAAAATGAAGACGACGCGATCCTGGCTTAACACGCGCAGGGATGACACACGTCTGTACATAAAACTAAATACAAATGAAAACTAGAGCTTCCACTGGGCTTGTTCGAAAATAAAATGCCCTTCTATAATAAAAC